CCCTTTCCCTTGGGTGCCAGAGCTGCCCCCACTCCCCCTCTGCCCCAGTACAGGCAGCAAGAGCCTCCAGCAGATTTCTGTCCCCCATTAGGCAGTAATTAAGCTGCTCTGGAGTGCTCTCCTTGGCTTTGTTTAAGCTCCAGTCCCGGGTCGTTCACACTCCACACACTCCCAAGCCTTCAGCTATTTTGTTGGCCTTTCTCCAGCCCTCTCCCATTTATTGGCATCAGGGGCCGATATGGGCTCTGCCTCCAGACAAAGCAGCTCTTTAACCCCAGCCCAGAATCCTGCTGGGGTTCCAGAGGGTTCCCCCTCCACTGCTCCTGCTGTGGCAGTGCCCCCAAGCCCTCATGGCGACCCAGGGGGGCACCCAGACCCCATACCAGGTTTGTCTCACTGGAGCCAGGAGGATGCTGGGGCCCTGGTGAGGTCCTTGGTGAGGTGCAGCTATCAGGACAAGCCTGGCTGGGCTGTGCATCAGGTTCTGCCACAGGTCCTGGTGGGACCTGAGAGTCTTCAGGTGGCTGAAGGCTCACGAGAAGCTGTGGGAGAGAGAGGGGCTGGGGGAGGACGGCGGGGGCTGTGCAGGAGGGGGCAGCCAGTGCTGCCAGCACAGCCCCACCTGCAGCAGAGGCCTCCAGGGGCTCTCACCTGGGGAGGGGGACACGCCACAGAGCTGTCCCATGCGCTCAGACCCACCCCATCACCGGCAGCTTCTGCCTCGGCTTCTCCAGCTCCGCTTGGCAAACGCTGCTGTCCCGGGGAACGCGGGCTCAGCTCAGCACCCGCCTCTCCAGAGCAGCTGGGTGCCGGCTGGGCCCTCTCAGCAGGATCCAGAGGGGCTGCTGGGCTCTGGGGATGTGACCCATCCCCTGTGCCAGCCTCGGGGACAGCTGGACTGCAGGGCTCTACCTGTGCAAAGAGTTGCAGGTGAGCTGCAGAGCCCACAGCAAGGGGGAAAAGGCTCTGGAAAGGGGAATGTGCCTCCTCCCAGGCACTGATTTTGGGTGGGAATAAAAACTACCTATAGGGGAGGCTGCGTGCTGCCGGGGGGCAGGATCTGGGGAGCCCTGTGCTGACTCTGTGCTGCTCCCTGGGAATCCCATACCTTGAGGTGCTCCCCTGCCCTGGCAGAGTTCTCCTCCAGTGGGATTGGCTCTGATCCCAAAGCAGAAGGATCCTGGTCCTGGCTGCCCAGAGGGGTCTGCTCAGCTCCTGGCTCAGCCTGGGGACAAGGCAATGACGTGAGGCAGGGACACATCTGTCCTGGGACAGGACCCAGGGGGTGCTAAACCCCAAAGGAAACCACGGGGCTTTGCAGCCCCAGGGTAGAGCCTGGAAAAACCCCATGCCCAGCAAGGAGACAGCCAGGTGGAGAGTGAAAGGGGTGGATGAGAGAGAGGAGGGAGACGTTACAGTGGGGTGCAACACCCCTGCCTGCCCCGGGAATCTCTTACTGGTGTCCCTGGAGCCGCCTGCTCCGGCCCTGCAGCGCAGGGATCGCTGACCGGGCTCCCTGGAGGGGTCCTGGCTGGCTCAGGGGTCTTGGGGACCTCCCCACTGCCCTCTGGTAGGTCCTGGGGGAAACCAAGACACCACATGGGGCTCAGACCGAGCTGGGAGCCGGGATGGGGCAGGGGGGGGCAGGTAAAACCCCACAACCTGGGTCTGTTCCGGCCTCTCCACGGGACCTCGTGGGGACACGCGTGGCTGGGGAGGATCGGGGGGCTGCAGCTCTTTCCTGGCTGCCGGCTGGCTCTTCTTGGGGAGGGAAGGAGAGGCCCTGGAGGGCGATTTGTGCCCTGTGAAGCGGGAAACAATGGCAGTGGCTCCTGGCTCTGCCCAGGGAGAGGCTGGAGAGCACCAAGGAAGCAGGAACAGGGGCAGCACAAACCTCTGGGGGGTCTGGGACCCCTCTCAGATGAGACCAGGGTCAGCTCCCGGTGGCTCCTGCGAAAGCGTCGGTAGCGTCTCCCCCCCGGCCGGTGACAGTCCCAGGGGGGCCACCTGCCCCGGACCCCTCCTCGCCTCCTGCAGCAGCAAAGGCAGCCCCAGGGCCAGGCATTTAGGAAGGGGGCTCCAGTGTGAAGCCACTCAATTGAGGCAGTCTTTGAGAAACAAGAGGTTGCCTCAAACACAAAATTGTGGGAGTAGTTTCAAAACCCTAGCATTAGGAAACCACAGAAGAAGTAATAAATTGTCTGAGGAACAGAGCATGTTGACAAGATAGAACATTCAAAGCATAAAACGAAGAGACAGCAACATCAGCGAATCTTAGGACGAGCCAAAAGTCAACCTGACCCTACCACACTTGCCAACTATCCAAATTAGGGAAAGATCTGAGGAAAGTTCGAAAGTTTACAATGAAGAAGACCAACAAACGACCACTGCCCATGACGAAGGCTGCAGGAACTCCCACCTCTAAACCTCCCCAAATTGAAGACTCTGCCTATATATGAATATTACAAGTAGATGTTGCAATTTAATGAATATGCATGTTTATGATGTCATTTTATGCTCAAAACTGTATAAAAGAGCTATGCTGATTGTACACGACAGAGTTCTTTGTCCAGGGCGACCTGGGGACTCTCCAACGCGTTGCATTAAAATACCTCCTGCTTTAAGGAAACAAATCTTTATCTCTAAAGCAGTCTCTCTGTGCTTTTTGGGGCAAAAATTCGGCTTCAAGTGCAACCCCCTCAGTGCTGAGCAGGGCCAGGAGTGTCACCCCATGGCTGTGCCCCCTTGTAGTGCCCACCCCCAGCACCCCTTCGTGCCACCCCACAGCCACACAGACCCCCTGGACCCTCACCCCAGGCATGGCACCCACCCTGGTGGGCCAGCAGGGGGCCAAGGTGGGGGCTGCTCCTCCTCCTCGGGTGGTTCAGGACAGGGGTTGGGCTCCAGCTCCTGCAGGGAAGGGGTGGGTTTAGCCAGGGAATGGGACAGGGAATCCTGCAGAGTGGGGGAAACCCATCCCCACGCCCTGCCCTGGTCACCAGGGCACTGAGTGGCCCCTGCCCCATTGTGCCCCCTCCCCAGCCTCGGTCCTGCAGCTGCTACCACCCCCCCACCCAGAACCTCACTGGGAACCAGTCCTGTGTGAAGTCCTCCTCGGGTCCTTGGATGTATCCTCTGCCGTTCCAGGGGGGCGGGGGATAGTCATGGGGTGCCCATATCCTGTCCTCCTCCTCCTCCTCATTCCAAGGGAGGCCATCAGGGCCAGGGAAGGGTCTGGGACCCCTGGGATGATGCTGCAAAGGGGAATGGGTGCCCATGGTGATGGCGGCACACTGGGGACACACAAAGCTGCCCCCCCCCCCCCAGCCTGTCTCCCCCTCACCATGTGCCAGCCCCCTCCAAAGTCATCCACAGGTCCTTGGAATTCTTCCCTGTCATCCCAGGGGGGTGGTGGGGGATAGTCATGGGGTGCCCATATCCTGTCCTCCTCCTCCTCATTCCAAGGGATGCCATCAGGGCCAGGGAAGGGTCTGGGCTGCAATGGGGAATGGCTGTAGGTGAGGAAAGCTCAGAGCAGCCTGGCTCAAATAACCCCAAATTAAACACCACGAGGATGTGAAACCCAGCAATTCCTGAGAGCAACTGGCACTGGAGGGGATGTGGGGGACAGATGTTTCCTGAGAGGAACCAGAGAGCAGCAATGACTTATCTGAGGATAAATAGAGTTGTGCTGAGCTGGCAGGGCTCCCCCAGCAATGCCTCACTGACACTCCATGATTTCCCCTATAAAAGCTCAGCCTCACGTTCTAACAGCGGGATTTGCAGCACAGCCCTCCTAGGAGTGTGTGTGGATTCCTCCCTGGAGCAGGGACACCCCTCAAGGTCCCTCCCCGAGGCTGAGCCAAAGAGATTTGTGTTGGTCTGGGTGAGTAACATTGATCTCTACTTAATAATTATTAACTTTGAAACTATTGATTTAATAAACAGTGCACTGTGGCAATGGTTACAACCATCTATAATGTGATTAAGGCCCTTCAGTCTAATCACCATCAGTGGAAATAAATAATTTATTTTACCCATGTAAATGTATTTGTTTTGCCCTTCTTAACCCTGCGGGAGGAAGTCGTGACGTGAAGCCTCCATTAAATCCGTATAATCCTTTAGAAACAAACTTCTGATCGAGGCTGGGGCTGGATCCACATGTGTCCAGGCTGCTCTGTGCCTGGGGGGCTCCCCGGGAGCGTCTCCCCCATGAAGTGTGGCTGAAGGTCCCACCCTGCCCACGGCACGTCTGTCCCCGACCCCTTACCCGGCACCATCCACCCCAACCCCTTACCCGGCACCATCCACCCCGACCCCTTACCTG